TCTAATTCATACTTCAGTGTGGTGTAGTGTTAAGGGATACTCTGCCAGAGTATGCACCACACCACCCTGGAGCACTCTATTAACATCCCTACTTCTGGCGGAAAGCTAAAAAGTCTCCACCGGAAATCTAAAAGGTCTCTCCCAGGAAATGTTAAAAGTCTCCACCAAAAATCTAAAAAGTTTCCTCTGGAATTATAGAAAATCTCCCAAGAAGCTTAAAAATATTAGACCTATTAACTTGGATATCCTCTCCTATTACTAAAGATTACTTTATTTATTTGTGAACGCCTATTACTAAAGAAGTAATAGTGCACTTGGAAGTCCTGTCAAGTTGAAAGAGACTTGTACAGAAGGGCCACTTGAAGCCTCTGCTTTCATAGCACCCAGAAAGTCCTGTCAAGTTGAAAGAGACTTGTATAGAAGGGCTACTTAAAGCCTTTGCTTTCGTAGCAACCAGAGCTCGCAGCTTACTGCAACCCCGAGGTTAGATCTTTTGGACGAGTACCTCATGAGCCAAACGTGTAGGTATAAGGACCCATAGCTCGCAGCTTATTGCAAACCTTAACCAAAAGTGTTAAATGTGGATTACCCATGAGCCAAAGTGTAGGCATAAGTAATCCCAACTCTGTAAATATAAACTCAGAAAATTTTATGTTTCAGAAGTCTATATGATACTATCGAAGCTAGGAAGATTCTATCACTTCAAAAGTACTTAAATCCGGCAACTGCCCAAATCTTCAAAATGAAATGCCATATCATATAACCAAAACTTATGACAATTTTTAGTTTTTAGCATATATGCATATACAACAATTTATAAATCGCTATAGCAAAAACAACTCATTTATTTATTTACTTATATTCAATACATATACATAATATCTTAAACCCAATTTGCTTCATCTACCCTTATCATTAAACCCAAAGAAACTAAGCGTTATATGTTTTAACAATAATTGGAAGACGTTACAAATATTTTAGTACTATAACTTTAATTTCATTCTATCTAACCCTAACCTGACTTATGTTATCTAAATTTACTTCTAACTATAAACTTATCTCTAATCCCAATCTTTTACCTATCACTAAACCCAGTTTTCTAACTTATTTCTAATAAAAAAATCTACCAAATTCATACCACTAAACCTGATATTTCTAACTATAAACTATCCTATCCTTTTATTCCTAATCTAATCTATTCTATTTACCCCTAACATTAACCTAACTAATTTCTTTCTATAAATTTGAATCCCAATCTCCCACTCAATTTTATAACTCTAACTTAGAAACCCGTTTCCAATCATTTGAATCTCCTTCCATTATAGCACTAGACACTATTCTCTCCCCGATTCCAAACCTTATTCGATTCATTCTTAATTCTAACTTTTAACATACCAAATTCTCATTTCTAACTATTAGATTCCATTCTATTCTAAATACTAAACTATTCATAGCAAAATCCTATATCCAACTATCCGATAAAAACCTATCTACCTGAACATTTGTTCCACGCCTAGGGACAATGATCAAAGTTTAGAGGTTCTAACCAGAGAACTCTAAATGATCTTCTAAAGCTCTTAGTTTTTTGAATCATTCTCTCTTAGAAACAAGAAGTTTTTTATTACATCTTATCAACTAGCAATTTTCGCTTTATATATATTCAATCGATGAATAGAAGCTTTATATCGATTATTAAAGAAAAGAAAATCGGCCATCAAAGAATTAAAATCCAAAAAAAATCTAGAGAAAAAAGTAATCTTATTGTGATAGTGCTATTCGACAAGTTAAAGATATATTATTAACCTCTTCTTAAATACCATCATCTCCAAGAAGGAAATCAGTATCTGGATCAAATGAAACAAAAAAAAAAATCCTTAATTAGTAGAATATTTAAAAAAAAAACTAAACAAACTAAGACCCCAAAATATAGAAAAAAATGAATCACAAAAAAAAAAAATGAAAAATGAATAATAAAAAAGAATACATTGCTTCTATAAAGTTCCTGTATCTTATATCACTTCGCATAACTTTTCTGTTAAGCTTTCAGTCAATACCAGCATCGACCCTCTGGTGGTTCGAACTGACTCCAAAGACTATTTCGCCTAATTCGTTTATCAAAGCCCTTAGGATTAGACAAAATAAAATGTCTAAAAAAAAAAAGGCTAAGTTAAAAAAAAAAGAGAGTCTTGTACTTTAAAGATTCATCTACGCTTGGTTATATCAAGCTAAGTATAAGGGAAAGAAATTGATAAAAATTCTAGTTCTATGTCAACTTAATAAAAGAGCTACCAACTCCAGCTCTTGTCCCAGTATTACTAAACACATTTATTGTGGCCTCAACACCAAGATGAATAACACGCTCACCACAAAAAAATAAAATTAGGTAGCTTACCCAGAAGAAGCTAAAGCTACTATGAAAACGCCAAGACCACAATAACGCCAACAGCGCCAAAAATGACAAAATCAAGACTGATGGACGATGATTCTGAGAATGCCAATGATTCTCAAATGATGATTCTTGAAGTTGACAACAACTCCAAAACGATATTGGATCTAAAAATATCCCAAAAGAAAAAGACCTTTGTTAATAAGAATGTTAAAAAAAAAAAAAAAAAGCCAAGTCAAAAAAATTAAAATTGGAAAAAAAAAAGGAGCCTGATACTTATCCTCAAAATATTGGCTACTCTCTATCTTATCCAAGAAGCAAGCATGCAAATTTTCTTCAACCTAACAGAGCCAGACTATTTAATATTCTATTCATACACCCTATACCTGTTACTTATAGTCTTGACTCGAGAAAGCAATTATGTTTTTGTGCTTTTGCTAGACTATACTAGACTAAAAAAAAAGAGAAAGAGTATTAATATATTACCAGCAAGCAAACTACTTCAGAAAGAATCAGTATAAATGCTAAAATCGTAACAAAATCAAGAGCAATGGTTAAAAACAACACTTACAACAAAGACCCCAAAGACGAATAACAATCTCCGAAATGAACAACAACTCCAAGACCAATGACGACAGTCCTAGAAAGACAAATTTAAAAGCAGGCCCAAGACCGAATAATGATTCCCACAACTCCAAGAACAATGACGATTCTAACACTGAAAAAAAAAGAAAGAAAGTGAAACTTAAACAATGTAAAAAAGAAAACGACAAAGACTAAATAAAAAAAAAAAAGAGACAAAAACTAAATTAAAATTGAAAATACTTCTCCAAACATTATACGAATACCCAAGCTACCAGAAATCTACGTTAATATTACAAGATCTAAACAAAGATCTGGAACCAATGTAGAAATAGTGAAAGAAATCTTAAGTCTAAAACTAGAAAAGCTAGAACTAAGCAATGAAAGCCCTACCCGAAGAACTAAAAGCCAAGTAACTCTACGTTCAGCCTCTAGCTAAAGACAAACGATCTAGAACGATATTTGCCAAGCCTCTAGTAACTAAAGATATCATTGAAAGAGAATGCCCTACCCGATCCAAAACCATGATGACGAGACAAAGCCATTAGCAACAAGAACCTAAGCTTAAAAAAAAAACAAAAAAAAACAAGAAACCAGAAGAATAGCTAGAAGCTGAAGAACTAGAAAATCTGACACGAAAGAAAGAAACTTAAAAAAAAAAGAGAGAGAGCAAATGATCGAAAGAAAAAAAAGAAAACTAAAATTAGTAGATTATTGATTAATTTATTTATAGGCATCAATTATGTAAACTACGTCACGAATGCCGAATTGACTGAAATTAACCCGAAAGTCTAAGAAAATCTAATCCAAGACAAAGAAAAAGACTATTGTCTAGATAATAATTACTAGAAGACCTTTGAAAAATATTACAAATTTATTATCAGAAAATTGGAATTTTCAGAAAAAATTCTAAAAGAAGACAAAAAACTTGAAAAAGCAATTTTTTTTTTTTATTTATGAAAGAAAAATCCTAAGAAAATAGAAAAAGACAATGAAAAGAGAAACTATTCTATACACAAAAACACCCCAACCTCTTCTTCTCCTCTCATTTTCCTCCTCCACTCTTCTTCTTTCATTATCATCTTCTTCTCTTTTTCTTCTTTCTTCCTCGAACTGATAAAGAAGATCTCAGTAAGCAGCATCACGCTCCTCGAACCAAGCCTGATACCTATCTTGTTCTTCAATAAGAGCTTCTTACTCCTGCTCTTAACGAACGAATTGTTGCAAATGATCAAGAGCCATATAGTCAAGCTCTGCAATAGTTGCAGCCTGGTCTTCTGCTTGTTGCTGTAACTACCTATCCCTTAAATTGTAACACAGGCAAATTTGCCTGCGAAGATTTTTACTAATTTTTTTAATATTTAAATTTTT